TAAGTCGTTATTTCTAAGTTGATTTCAATGATTTATCGTTTATATATGAAAAACGATTCTGAGCAGAGACTGACAGCTTGTATTACAAATAAGGTATATTGAATTTCCTTTTTTTTTTTTGATAAAATTTATTTTACTTATATTTTTAAGGTAGATTAATATGATTTTTGCGAAACTATTGCATTTATTAAATTATTATTAGTACTTAATTAATTGTTATAAGGATATGTATTTATACCATAAAATATCAAATTTTATAATTCAAAATTAAATCAAATCTTTCTATAAATATACAGTAAAAATAGATAACTAATATCTATAGATAAAAAATATTTTAAATTGAATTAAAAATGTTACTGCTTAGAATAACATTCATTATAACATAAAATATATAAGGAATAACTTCCCACGAATAATGTTTTTAAATTATAACAAAATGAATAACACATCGTTACTTATCTTTAAAATAAATAACTTCATCTAAAAAGAATTTAAAATGTGTAAAAAAAAATAAATATCATAAAACTTTTTTAAGATTACATGGTTTTAATATGAATACTTATGAGGAATCTTGAATTAAACGTTAAGAATTTTAACTAGGAAAATAATATTTTTATTAAAATTTATAAAAAAAAAAATTTTCTTGCCTATAAATAATGCAAATGATTTTACAAAAACTTAAAAATATGACAAAAACGATACTATACATATTTAAAGAACATTTCAATAACCTATTAGTAATATTTTTTGAAATACAATAAAATATCAAAAAGAGGAGAAATAATTAGTTTCCTGGTAGAATCAGTTATAAACATTTCAACTTGCAATGCTCATAAATAAAAGAATCTTGTACTAGTATTAAATAATCACATGTGAGATATAAAAATATTTAAATATACAACAATTTATTAATTATTGCAATATTCAAGATGAATTCTGTCAAAATTCTTATTTAAACACAATACATTTTCAATGACTTCAACTGAAAAATTAAAAAAGACAGTTTAAAAAATTGGTAAAAATTTCAAGCATCTATGTTATTTGTTTTTAACACAATTTGAAAATAGATACTAGAAATATTCTTAAAATGATTATATATAGTATAATTATCAATATAAAATTTAAATTTAAAAATTTTTTAAAATTTTTAAACTAATTATAGATATTAAGTAAAATCTATAATTTGAAGTTCAATTTTTCAAATGTCAACAAAAAATATTAATATCCATAAATAAAATTCTTAAAATTTAATATAATTATATGAGATAATAAATAGTTCATTAGTTAACTTATATATTAATTATTACGATTTTTTTGGTAGTAATATGTTTGTAAATTAGTTTGAAACATGCTAAAATGTTAGATACAGTGTCGCTCTACCTTT